ATCAAATACTCACTTCAGTGGTGTAATTGATGTGCTAAATGGAACAGAATGTATCCAGCCACTACATTATGCTATACATTTTAATCAATTAATTATTTGATAAAATTGCATCTATACTATTATAATTAGAATTTAATTTATAACTTGTTCATTATGTCATTTTTAATAAAAATAAATTAATTAAAATTTCCGCTTATCATTTATACCATTGTATTTTTGTTTGATTTTGAATTTCCAAATGCAAATTTTGGGCTGTGTTTGGTTAGGTGTTCCAAATACATTTTCACCCACTGATTTAATTGTGATGTTTGTTTTAAACTTTCAAATTATAATTCCACACTCACTTTTGAAAACTCCTTTTTAGGTTGGAAAATTTGGTTTACCCGGACGTTCGGCCAGTTGACCGGAACAGTGTTCGGTTTCTTTTTTTTTTCCGCACCTATTATTTTTATATTGTAAATAAAAAATATTTTCAAATTTTTTTTGATTTTTGTATAAGTTTTGAATAGAATTTTCGGTTGTGCGTTTGGTTATGAATTGTAAGCTTTTGAATCAGATAACTTTTATAATTTCAAAAACTCAAAACTCCCTTTAAAACTCAATTCAAAACTCATAACCAAACAAAATTTTCACACTCAAGTCATAATTTTAAAACTCACAAACTCAAAATACAACTCTATTCTCAAATCATATTTAAAAAACTCTACCAAACGCTACCCAAGGTTGTTAGTGAACATTTCATATTTTAGTCAATTTTTCGTTGTCACATATTTAAAAAACTCTACCAAACTCACAAATTTTTCATTGTCGTTACTAAACATTTCATATTTTAGTCATTTTTTTTTTAATTTTAGATACACTTAATCTACACACTTAAAAAATAAAATATTTGTAGATAAAATAAAAATAAAAAATAAGTGATATAAAAATACAAAAAATATACTAAATTTATATAAAAATATACGCAGCTTGTGATATAAATTTATAGTCAATTTTTATATTTTTTTAAAAGTGAAGAAACCAAAATAATGAAAATATAGGGGTATTAATATTAAGTGTAATTAACTATTTTGTTTGAAACGCAAATTGAGAACTTTTAGGCGTCGTTTGGTAATACTTACGTTTTTAGTTTTCTGTTTATATTTACAAAAAATTAAAAAAGTCAAATAAAAACTTGTTTGTTAAATTTTTTATTTATAAATCAGTGGTCTCAGTTTATAAATTTGGCCAAAAAAATAAAAATACAAAAAATGTATTTCCGTTTTGAGTTTTGAGTTTTTTTTTTTTTTTACCATCCAACACTAGCCACCCCCCGCCACCATTTTCCACCACCGTCTTCCGCTACCACTACCCACCCGCCACCACCACCCGTCCATCCCCCACCGTTATCACTTTCCACCACCGTCTTCTGCCACCACTTGCCACCACTTGTTATTTCTTATTCTTTTTTATATTTTTAAAACTTTTTAAACATTTTGTCAATTACCAAACGTGTTTGTAGGTTAATTGCATGTTAATCACCTGAAAATGTAAATTACATTTGTTCGCCATCCGCCATCCACCTCCCCCCCCTCCCCCCCCGCCCCCCACCACCCCCTGCCATCCACCACCCACCTGCCACCACTACCCGCCACCACCACCACCACCACCACCACCTATTCGCTACCACCCACCACCCGCCACCGTCCCCCACCCACCATCACTACCCACCACCACCTACCACCACCCGCTATCCGCCACCCACCACCACCCACTCATTACCACCCACCACCTGCCACCGTCACCCATCCACTCACCACCACCACCCGCCACCTACCTGCCACCACCACCCACCTGCCACCACCACCTACCACCCGCCACCACCACCACCACCACCCCCCACTCGCTACCACCCACCACCCGCGCACCGTCACCCACCCATCCGCCACCACCCAGCACCACTAGCTACCCACCACCCACCGTCACCACTTTTCACCACCATCTTCCGCCGCCACTTGCCATTTTTCATTCTTTTTTATATTTTTAAAATTTTTTAAACATTTTGTCAATTACCAAATGCGTTTATACTTTATGTTTTTCTAAAAATAAACAAAAAATAAATAAAAATCAATTTATAAAATTTTTGTAAATATAAATTGAAAACGTAAACGTTACCAAACACACAAACTTAATATAAAAACACAAGAAAGAACCCAAAATTTGAAATCAAGGTTAAAAATTCACTGATGGTATCTCATAATAACAATTTTAATCCTACACCATTAATTTAATATTTTGTGATATTTTTTTGGATTTTTTTTTCGGTACTATATGCACCAATTAATAGATTAACTAGTATCAGCATATGTTATGGTGTTATTATTGATTCCACTTGTTATAGAAATGACAAATACTAAAAATCTCTTAAATTATGTCATATCATTAATTTATACACTAATTAATATCTTAATTGATGCATATAGTGGTGTTTTAGAAAATTGATAAAAAGTTAATTTTTTAATTTATTTTGTCTCTTTATAAATAAAAAATATGATAAATAATGTAATCTAAAATGAATAAAAAACTAAAAACTGATTTTTTACTTGTTTTCCAAAAAACCCCATAGGTTATTCTCTTTTTTTTTTTTTTTTTTGATATTTTTTTAGATTTTTTTCCAAGTCCATGGTCCATAGACTTTTCCATTCAAATTTGTCTAACATGAAGGCGAATAATAACCGTCGCTTATGTCACAAGCTGCGTCATCAATTATGTCACACGCTTTTAGGTTTTGAGATTTTTTTTGGATAAATTACACTTTGATCCTTAAAATAATTTTCTCACTTTAACCTCAAATGTTTTTAACAATTTTTTCACAATTAATGGATAAATAATAGATGAATTATACTTTGTGCCCAGTTTTACTATTAATTTTTTGACTAAAATAATCAAAAATGCATAAAATAAAATAAGAGTAAATTAGAAATATACCTTTGAAAAATTACATGAACTTGTAGAATTTTTTTATTTAATAAAATTAATAAAAAAATATAAAATTCCTAACTGTATCTTATACAATAATAAAATTACATAAATTATTAATTAAAATAATTTCTAAAATCATTAAAAATTATTAATTATCTTAATAATTTATTAATAAAAGAGTCATTTGTTATGAAATTAAAAATTTTAAGAGATGAAATGTAATTTCTAAAACCATAAAGAGACAATTCATATTTTAAGTAAATCTCAAAGAATGTATTTGTAATTTATCCAAAAATTAAAAAGTCAAAATATCATATTATACACACTAATCAATTGTTTTTCCACATTATACACACTAATCAATCAACTTTATTTATTTATTTATTTTTATTTTTTATTACACAGGAGTAAAGGAATAGTCCTAGGTAATAAGCTCTACTGAGGGAAAAGGAGGATGAGAGACCCAGTTGAGTCCTAAACATCCACTAAGAGCGGATTTTGCCACCCGATGCGCAACCATATTTGAAGACCTAGGGTTCGAAAAAAAGAATTGAAAATGAGAGGCCATGAATCTGATATCCCTAATAATCAGAGCCACATTCCAAGAAGGAACATTCACTAAATCACTTTTTCTCTCACAATTATTTATGCAAATGACTATTTTAGTTGATTTTTAATTTTTTTGTGAAAAGATTAATAAAAAAATAGTTAACTTTTTTTGTAGTGATTTTTTAATTTTTTTAACTATCTTAACCTATTACCAAAACATTTTTTTGTAGTGATTTTTTAATTTTTTTAACTATCTTAACCTATTACCAAAACAACCCTAAAAAAAGTATTCCAAATACTAATTTTTTTTCACTTACTAAAAAGCTAAAAAAACCAAATTATAGAAAAAGTCTAATTACCAAACGGACACTTAGGCCTCGTTTGGGAACCCTCTTTTTTAATCAAAAAGTCAAAAAGTTACTAAATTAGCCAAAAAGCCAACAACCCATACCAAAAAGTCCAAGATTCTCTTTTCTCTCTACTTTTTGCACATCTTTTCGTAAAAAGTCAAAAAATCATCCCAAACATACTAGTTTTTTTAGCTCATATTTTAGTCAAATAGCCAAAAAATTACTAAATTAGCCTGTTCCCAAACGAGGCCTTAGTTGCCTCGTAAAACATACTCATGAACCCTTAATTAATGGGCAGTTAGGCCATAAGTCTATTTTTGAATCTTTTGAGCCATTAGACCTAAGCTCTAATCTCTTTAGACCAAAAGGACACAATTTGTCTAAAAAAATAACTATCTGTCAAAATACAATACAATCACACAACACATGCTACTGGTGTGCTTCCTACTTGTGAGAAAAGAAATAATACCAAATGTAAAAACATATAATTCACATTTGACAAAGTTGGCTCCAACCAATAACCCAAACCCCCTTTTATCCCCTCCCTCCTCCTATTTAACCCAGGCCTTCAATACCATTCCTTTTCAACAAGTTTCAATAAAGGAGGCCGAAATCATCAATGACTGATCAAATTACAGTATTTTGAAAAAACATAAAAAATGTAATAAGATTAACAATCCATGACCAGATTCTTACTTAGCCAAAAGGGCTTTACAAAGAACTGTAGGGGGGTCATTCTTCACTCCTGACCTCCTTTCTCCAGTTCTGCCATTTCGGTTGTTATTGTTCTAGGCTCAAAAAATTACAGTTACATAATAATAACTAACCATGAACATATGAATGCCTGTAGAACATGAAGACATAGTCTGCAAAAAAATATCTGTCATGGAGAGAGAGAGAGAGAGAGAATGAGAGATGATGGGACCTCTATTTCACATGAACAAGAGGTTTGTAAACAGGATACCACATGTTGTGTGTGACATATTCCATAATCTCATCTTGCAATCAAAATATTAAAGCCACAGATGAATACCTATAACAATAACTAACACACTCTAGTTGAATTGAGTTTTTTATATATTTTTTACTTTGCTAGTATCATTTTTGAGGTTAAAAAGGTAAGATGAAATCAATCCATACTTTTGACATCCGCGTGAGCTCTCGAGCTTCCACATCACTATGTCCTTCTGCTAGTTCTTCAGCAGCAGCTGCTTGAACAATAGCAGCTCCAACCTTTGCCGGTATATGCCGAATGCTGCAATGATGAGTAGGCCATACCATTAACTAATTAGTTAGGGTTCTTGTTCCTGTATTAGTCTAATTTTATTATGGGATGTCTTCAAGGGGATTAGAGGTTGGATATTTAGTTCTAGGGTTGAAAACAAGCAAAGTCAAACTTAGTAGTAGGTTGTTCGAGCTTGGATTGATAATTTAATGAGCTTAAACTTATGTTCAAACTTGACTTGTTTACATAATGAACTGATCTCGGACAAACTTTTAACAAGCCAAACAAGAGTTGATTTTTTATACCGCATATAAGCTTATCAAGCCAAACAATAAGTTGTTTGAGCTTGATTTGAACACTTAACGAGTTTAGGTTGTTTACATAACGAGTCGATCTCAAACGAGTTTTTAATTTGCCGAACATGAATTGAGCTCGAGTAGGTTGGTTCGTTTAACAGCCCTATTTTGTTCTAGCTGCTTTAGATAAAGTGAAACAGAACTTGATTATAGTATCAACCATACAGTCACAATAAATGGAAAAGGTTTCATAGTTCTGAGTTCACAAACACAAAGATTACCATGTCTATATAATCTTGGCAGACTACAACCACCTGATTATTGATTAATTTATTATTATATCTAAAACAACAAACCTACTAAGAAATCATTACTGTTCTAATGGAACTATAGGAGCGGTTAATTTGAGCCCATTAAATTAATTAGGTCTAATCGGAGCCCAATTAGAAAGCGCAAAATTAATGGGTCGCATAAATTATTGCCAAATGAGCCCAATTGAATTCTATTAAATGGGCCCATAAGAAAACCAACAAATTGGGCTGAGGAAGACCCATCAAGCATATATCTCTAAAGTGAGTCCAACAAACCTATCCGATGAGGCCCAGATCACACAGGCGTCCAAGGAGGTTAACCGTTGCTTTCAAAATAGATGAAACCCTCGGAGGAGATCCATTCTCCGAGGTATTGGCTTAGTCTTGAAAGGGCTCAAAACCACAAACCTAGAGACCTATTTGAGTTTGGACTCGAAAAGGTTCAAATTCGCAAACCTAGAAATCCGAAGCACGCGGCGTTAAACAAATTCGAACGCAATCTAGAAGTCGCTCTGTTAATGAGTTCTAGAACATTTGTAGGCTTGGAGCTTTCCGAGATCTACGCACTAGAACCATGGGCGTAATGGAGTCTAAACAAAGGACCTGATCCCGAGGACAGTGAGCGGAGATAAATTCACTCTTCGGTTAAACTAGCCTATACCCGGGTTGAGGTGGCACGATCTAGGAGGTCCCAGAAACTCGGCGGTATTTGCGGCAGGGAATTCTTTTGAACTACCCCTGACCCTTCTGCAGCAAGGCTTCCTCTGGGACTACCCCTGACCCTTTAGGATGCTTAGGGATCATTGGTTAGGCCTGACTAAGAAAAAGGGTTCATCGAGGAAGTGATCTCCTCTTCGGGGTCTTCCTCATCCTCGAAGAAATCACATCCTTGGACAAGGTAGTTAGAGGAAATATTCCCCATGTGCCTTGCACATGGGCTCCATCTTACATCATAGCACCCATTCATAGTTTTACAAAGGAAGGATTTTGGAGAGATTATTTTTTGGGAGAACTTACAACATCCGTCTCCATAAATACTTGATAAATTATTAGATTGTCTTAATTATGTGCTTCATGTAAAATTATGTGCCAATTGTTATTGTCTTGTGGTTATATGAACAGATGCATAGAGAATAGGAAATCAACCTGTCTGAATCAGTAAACCATAGGATTAAAATTAAATATTTGGAATAGGCAATTGGAGCCTGATTCACATTAGTATGAGATGAGAAGGGAATTAATTAAGTGATTTTGATTCATTAATCTAAACTTATGATTAATGAGTTTGTTAGTGCCGAAGTCATTTATTAGCTCAATTCAACAAATAAGAGGGGGAAATATAGAGATGGATATTTTGTATAGAGAAACTTGAGAGAATTCTAGAGCCAAAAGAAAAAGAGAGAACACTAGGGCTCAAGAAAAAAAAGGGGGGAGGGGGGAGAATTGAACAATCTTCACCAAAATATCAAGTAAGGTAAGAAGTTTTCCTTAAATCTCATGAATTATGGTTGTCTTCATCATCGAATAAGTTGAATCAAGAAGTAGAGTAGTGTTAGTTGTCATTAAGAACCCTAAAGAAGAAGATTGTAGGAAATAACTTTAAATTTGAGCACACATGGCATCATTTTTGTTTTTACATGTGAGATTATGCATGATTCCTCAAATTTGAGGAGAAATTTCATTGATTTTAGTTTTGGCAACCACAATTTGCGTAGAGTATGATTCTATACTCAAAGCTCATGATTTTGAGTTCTTGCATACAAGCATTGAGTTTTGATTTGAAGCTATAGCCTTTATTTGAGTTGAGAAAGGTTTAATCAACATGTTTTTGAAGAGTTGTGAGCCTTGTTTGCATCAAATGAAGTGGAGTTTGAAAAAGGGAAAACATACATTTTTCAGCAGATTTTTGGACTGGGTTTCAATCTAGATCGCTCGAGCGACCTGGGCCACCGCACGAGTGGCCAGTCCTCCTCTGTTCCAACTTGCATTTTGCTCGCACGAGTGGCCTAGCCCATCGAACGTGTGGCCAATGCCACCACATGTGCACCCAACAGAGCACGTTCAGTTTGTTTTTCCTTTAATTTCCTGATTTTCGGGGCCTCAGTTTGCATGGTTTTCAAGTGTTTTTCATGTGCAAGCGCATGGATGGACTATATTTTGAACCGTTATACCTAAATGTGTTTATGTAGGTCAGACACCACATTCTAGCCACGTGTTTCACGGAGCCAACTGTGAGTAATAAGTTGTAGCGATTCCAGTTTTGCCACTGAGTATGTTGGGGATCGAGCTGCCCGGTCAATTCGCAGGGTCCACGGGACAGCGCCCCTTGGTGGGTCCAAGGGCAGCGCCCTGGCGAGGATCGAGCTGCCCAGTCAACTCTCAGGGGTCCAGGGGCAGCGCCCTGGCGGGGATCAAGCTGCCCGGTCAACTCACGGGGTCCAAGGGGCAGCGCCCTTTGGCGGGTCTGAGGGCAGCAACCTGGCGGAGTTGAGGGGCAGCACCCCCAAAGTAAAAATGCAAAATGCATGCAAAATGCATTAGAAGTTGCTTATCTGCTCGAGCAGTCGTTTATGCGCTCGAGCGGAGAATATTTTGTTTCATAAGTTTGACATGTCTACAAAAGTATTGGGAAAGTGTATTTGACGCTCCAGTGGGGCTTTCCACGCTCAAGCGGGCCATGTTATATCAGTTCGTGAATCTGATATTTCAGATCACTTTTGCATATCTCTCTCTCTAAAAACCCTTTCCTATCCCTTCTCTCTACATTTCCCTACGCCAAATTGGATCAAAACCTTTATTTCTCACGATCCATTAGAATTTTGCCATAAGTTCTTCATCAAAGTTGGTTAACTTCTCGAGGGCTTTGTTGTGTGCGGTGAAGATCGAGTTTCGACACCGTTGATTTTGGGAGTTTCATCTTATTTCTTCTTCAAAACTTGAGGTAGGGATTTTCTTAGAGTTATATATATATATATATATATTTTTGCAAGATCTATATGATTTTTGAAATCATCTTTTGATAGCTTTGAAAATTGATTGTTGATTCAAGAAGTTGAACGATTTTGAAAGTGGGTTTGTCTCTTGTTCTCATAAAAATGATCTTATGGGTTTTGATCTTCGTTGATTGAAGAAAAGAAGATTTTGGAAAGTTTTCTTTTAAATGATTTGAGTTATATAGCTTTGGTGAGAAAACCTAGAATTTGGGGATTTTGTTTTAGAGACTGAAAATCCAGGAATGATAGTGTTGTGTTTATTTTGTGTGTCAAAATAAATGGATGTTTGGAAAATTTCTTATTTATATTTATATAAATGATGAATTTCATGGAATATGAGAATTGTTGTTCATTTTGGAAATTATTGTTAAAAACGTTGAAATAGTCTTGAAATGACTAATTGTTGAGGATACTTGAGAAGAGAGAATTGTGTTATTCCTTGAATGATGAATTGGAATAAAAGTATTTATATTCATCTTGTGTTATTGGCATAACAATTCATTTGATTACATTAAACTTTGAAAGTTGATTTGAAAACTTGCATTGAGAAAAGAATGTTAAGTTTTCATGAAATGGTTTTGGGGTAAATACGTTGATAAGTCTTGATAGGTGGTGTAGATGATATTGAATAAGTTAGCCTGAGAGTCCAGGGTGAAAGACCAAAAACTCACGCGGATAGGTGTCGAGCCTTCTAGTTAATACCGGTAAAAATGACAATTTGGTAGTACTTATATAGTCTACTTGCAGACACCGACCTAGTGATTACCAGAATCGTATTTACCGCCCTTGAAATAAATTGTTAAGTTTTGAACAATTGAAATTGCATGACATCATTAAGCATGATAGTTTTCAAAAGATGAAAATGTGATTTATCTTCAAAAAGGGGCATAGCATGGCATGGGCATTTCATCTCTTGAGACGTGTATAAAATGTATATACTTTGTTAAGGATTTCCTATTAGGCTTTATGCTCACCCAACGGGATTTTTGGTGTAGGAAAAGATCTGGTGATGCTGCCTAACTAAAGGCGAGGAAATGTGTGTTGAGAGTACGAGACTCTAATTTTGTTGTGACTCTGTGTGTAAGCCAAGGGCTGTATGTGTGTGGGTTTGAATAATCGTTTGTGTAACCAGGCTCAAGCCTTGGAAACTTGTAAGCCCTTGGGGGTATTTATTTGTTTATTTACTTGTTGTTGGATTAATGTATTGTTGCATGAAGAACTATTGTATCATGTAATGTAAGTATAGAGATTTATATTCGGTTTTCCTTGAAAGAGCCATGATTGTTGTATTATCATTTGGACTAGAAATTTGGGGCGTTACAATAATAATGTTGTAAAGATATGTTTAAGCTATAATTATTTTTTCAATGTTATTGTTAAGTACTGTTTCTGAAACGATATGATTTACTGAATGAATGATTGTCCTATTTATGAACTGTATTTGTGGCTGTAGACG